TCCCTGGAATCATGCAATTGTTTCTCTCAACTGAAGTTCTCCCCTAGCCTTCCCACTTCTTTCAAGGCAGAGCCAAGCAGCCACCTATGAAATGGCTTGGAGGAGGGGCATGGTCCAAGCCTGTTTGGACCAGTCAGATTCTTTCTATTGGAAATTTGAACTGAAAATATGGAGGACAGAGGTGTTTAGTAAGTAACAGAACTAGAAGCTCTGAAAATATACCAAGGGACTTCTGACTTCTCACATAATGGAGTTTGGAGGTCTACAGAACCTCTCCCCAAAAAGCAATAATGAAGCTGAACAAAATTGTCAAAAACCACTTCAGCACTCTAGAATTCTACCAAAGGGATACAAAAACTGAGAAATATTTTTAATGAAAACTACTAAACTTTAGGTAAAAACAATATGAGTCTATAGCTGCCCACACCCCATGTCCCTAACTCCAGCTCCTTCCGGCACCATGACAACGAACAGCTTTGCCACTGATAATGGAAAGGACACACTTGATTTAGAGCACTGTCAGATGAAGTGATCTCAATGGCAAGCAAACAGGAAGGACCAGTGGCTCCATCAATCTGAGGCTGCAGTTCCGTTTCAGCTAAGCAAAGGACTGATGGACTAGTGGGGATTTATCAGTAAGTTTTAAGAGGTAAAACTTAAGCCACAGGGGATTCTTCACATATCCTGGGTTAGCCAGAGGCTGTGTGTATGTATACTAGACACCAAAGAGGACCAAAGGTACCTACACATCCCTGGCCAACAGAGCCTGTGCACATGTGCAGAGGAGATGTAAAGAAATATTAAGGGTACCCACATATCTGTAATTAGCATTCTAGAACAAGAGTAGAGAGAAGGGGCAGAAAAAGTATTTGAAGATAAAATGACCAAAATCTTCCCAAATATAGCTTTACACATCTAAGAAGCTCAATAAACCCTAAGTAGGATATATAAAAAGAGATCCACACCTAGATCCACAGAGTAAAACTGTTGAAAGCCCAAGATAAAGAAAAACTCTTGAAAACAGAAAGAGAAAAACAAGTCACCATGTACAGAAGAACAACAAAACAATGGACAGCTAACTTCTCATCAGAAACAATGGAGGCCAGAGACAATGGAATGACACATTTAAAGTGCTACATGAAAAGAAGAATGTTCAACTAAAAATTCCATATACAGCTAAAATAATCCTTCAATGTGGAAGGGAAATAAAGATGTTCACAGATAAACAAAGACTGAGATTATATGTTGCTAGCATGCCTGCCTTACAAGAAATACTAAGTAAAGTCCTTTAGGCTAAACAGACAAGAAATACTAAGTAAAGTCCTTTAGGCTAAACAGAAATGCCCCTACATGATAACTCTACAAAAAGAAACAAAGAGTGCCAGAAATGATATATATGTTAGTAAATATAAAAGATTCTTTGTGTATATTTTTTCTCACTTCTTCTCTTAGCTTCTTTTAAAAATGCAAGGTTGCAATAAAAAATAATTATAACACTGTATTATTGGGTTTATAACATATTTAGATGTAATATATATGACAATAGTACAGAAGAGAAGGGAAGAAAAGGAGATGTATTGGAGTAAAGTTTCTATATTTCACCAGAATTAGAGTAGCATTTTTCTGAAATAGATGGTGATAAATTAAATGCAGTTGTAATCCTTGGAGCAACCACTGAGAAAATAAAATGACGATAATTGAAATTGTTATTTTTAAACTAAAAATACGATTATTTAACATAAAATAAGGCAGTAAAAGAGAAACAAAAAAGACATTAAGCAAATACAAAACAAATAGAAATGGTCAGGCATGATGGCTCATGTCTGTAATCCCAGCACTTTGGGAGGCCAAGGTGGGTGGATTGCCTGAGCTCAGGAGTCTGAGACCAACCTGGGTAACATGGTGAAACCCCATCTCTACTCAAATACAAAAAATTAGCTGGGCATGGTGGCACATGCCTGTAGTCCCAGCTACTCAGGAGGCTGAAGCATGAGAATTGCTTCAACCCAGGAGGCAGAGGTTGCAGTGAGCCAAGATCACACCACTGCACTCCATCTTGGGCAACGGGGCAAGACTGTCTCAAAAAAGAAAAGAAAAATGGCAGGTGTTAACCCAGTCATATTATTAATCACATTAAACAGGAACAGACTAAAATATCCATTCAAAAGTCAGAGATTGTCAGACTGGATGAAAAAGCAAGATCCAACCGAATGCTGTCAACAAGAGACACAAAAATAGGAAGAGATATCCCAAGCAAACAGTAACCATAAGAGAGCTGGAGTGGCTATATTACTATCAGACAAAATAGATTTTAATATAAGAAATGTTATTAGAGAGGCCAGGTATGGTGGCTCCCACCTGTAATCCCAGCACTTTGGGAGGCCCAGGGAGGGTGGATCACGAGGTCAGGAGTTCGAGACCAGCCTGGCCAACATAGTGAAACACCATCTCTACTAAAAATACAAAAATTAGCAGAGTGTAGTGGCATGCACCTGTAGTCCCAGCTACTCAGGAGGCTGAGGTGGAAGAATTGCTTAAACCTGGGAGGCAGAGGTTGCAGTGAACTGAGACTGCACCATTGTACTCCAGCCTGGGTGATAGGGTAAGACTCTGTCTAAAAAAAAAAAAAAAAAAAAAAAAAAGAAAGAAAGAAAGAAATGTTATTAGAGACAAAGGATGTTTTATAATGATAAAATTGTAAATATATTAGGAAATACCAATTATAAATATATATGCACCGAACAACAAAACCCCTAAATACATAAAGCAAAAACTCATGAAAATGAAAGGAGAAATAGATAATTTGACAGTAATACTCAGAGATTTCAATAGCTTACTCAGTAAATGCAGGAAAAAAACACCTGACAAAATCCAGTGCAAATTAATGACTTGAAAAATCATTATGGACATTTGAAAAATCACTTGGACAACTGGATATCCATATGCAAAAAAATAAACTTAGATTCTTACCTCATACCATACACAGAAATTAACTTTAAATAGATCACATGCAAAAAGTTAAACAAGGCTGAGCATGGTGACTCACAACTGTAATCCCAGCACTTTGGGAGGCCGAGGCAGGTGGATCAACTGAGGTCAGGAGTTCAAGACCAGCCTGACCAACATGGTGAAACCTCATATCTACTAAAAACACAAAATTAGTTGGGCATGGTGGCACACACCTGTAATCCTAGCTACTTGGGAGCCTGAGACAGGAGAATCACTTGAACCTGGGAGGTGGAGGTTGCAGTGAGCCGAGATCACACCATTGCACTCCAGCCTGGGCAACAGGAGTGAAACCTTGTCTCAAAAAAAAAAAAAAAAGAAAAAAAAGTTAAATTTACACCAAGCATGGTAGCTCATGCCTGCAGTCCCAGCACTCTGGGAAGCCAAGGCAGGTGGATTGCTCGAGTTCAGGAGTTCAAGACCAGCCTGGGCAACAAGGTGAAACCCTATCTCTCTCTATTTAATAAAAAATAAAACATTTTTTTAATTTATATAAAAAAATTTTAAGTTAAATATACTTAGCACATGACCTAGCAATCCCACTCCTAGATATATGCCCAAGAGAACTGAAAACATGGCCACACAAAAACTTGTACATAAATGTTCATAACAGCATTATTCATCATAAGAGCCAAAAAGTAGAAACAATCCAAATGTCTATCAGTATAGGAATGGATGAACAAAATATTGTGAATCCATACAATGGAATATTATTTGGCCATAAAAAGGAATGAAGTTCTCATACATACTACAACATGGATGAATCCTGAAAACATTCTACTGAGTGAAAGAAGCCAGGCATTAAAGGCCACATATTATATGATTCTATTCATGTGGAATGTCTAGAATAGGCAAATCCATACAGACAGAAAGAAGATTAGTGATTTCCAGGACTAAAGGGAGGGAAAAGTGGGGAGCGACTATGAATAGATATAGGGTTTCTTTTTGGTGATTAAAATGTTCTGGAATTAAATAGGGGTGATATTTGTAGAACTTTGTAAATATACTAGAAACACATACTTTTACCTTTCTTAGGTGTAGGCTTTATGGTATGTGAATTATATCTCAGTAAAATTATTTTTAAAAAACGGATCACAGACCTAAATGTAAAACCTGGTTGTCTGGGGCTGGGGTTGGGGCTGGAACTGAGTACTAACTGAAAATTGACTCAAGAGGATTCTTTGGGATGATGGAAATGTTCTAAAACTGGATTGTGCTCATTGCTGCTCTTTATAAACTTACTAAAAATCATTGGATTGTTCATTTATAATGGATGATTTTATGATATGTAGGTTTCACCTAAATAAAGCTGTTTAAAAAATGAATCCAGTGAAAACAGAAATCAAAACATCACATAGTAAATAGCTGGGGAGAAGCTGGGATGAGAATTTATCTTAAAAATGAAATAAAGGAGGATAGGAGGTACTAGGGTAATGAATGTTATGTTTCTTCACCTCTTTATGGGCTATAGTTCGTGAAAATTCATTGAGCTGTACTTTTGGGATACATGCACTTTTGTGTATATATTTCATATCACAACAAAAAGTTTCTTAAATGACATGGGCCTGGGAGGGGCCATGAATGAGCCAATTAACGAGTTATAGAAGCTGAGAGGCTCAGCTGTGCAGCTGCTCTTGGGTCTCTATGAGATTTTCTGCCTTCCTTATTGCCACCATTTTACAGTAATACCCATTTCTAGAGCTAGCCTGAGCAAGTTTCTATTTCTTACTATTAAAAAGCCTCATTAATACATCCACAAATACAGCTACTGAAATTAATGAAATCCACAAATACACCTCCAGAAGGGCAGGGGATTTTGTACATTGCTAAATCCCCAGTGTCTAGAACAGTATCTGTCAGGTTCTTATGTATATTTCTTGAATGAGTAAACGAATGAGCAGAGGAATAGCTGTAGAGAAAGGAAGGTGTAGAGCAAGAGACTTGCAAACACAGACATTTTTCTTTTTTTTTTTTAATTTATTTATTATTATACTTTAAGTTGTAGGGTACATGTGCATAACGTGCAGGTTTGTTACATATGTATACTTGTGCCATGTTGGTGTGCTGCACATACAGACATTTTTCAATGCAGCCTGGCCAGTGTCAGGGGTGGGGGTCAGAGGATGAATAATGCCTCCTGGGAATGTCAGGAAAATGTCACAGAGGAGGAGACCTGAGAGCTGGGTCTTGAAGAATGAGTAGGAGTTTGCCAGGGAAAGAATACAGGAGAGTAGGATAGACAGAAATAAACACAGATAGAATCACACTGTTCTGAAAGAGGCTGGCATTCTTGGGGACCCTAAGAAGGCTCATGTGGCAGAAGGGCAGGGTCACAGTTGAGGACAAGCAAGAGATAAGGCTGGAGAGAGAAGCTGGGGATAGATGGAGAGGCTCACCTATTCCCAGCCAAGACATTTCAACAGACTCCCGTAGGAATCACAGCCAGAAGAGAATTTTCACCGGGGATCAAATTGGCTTTTTAGGAAGCTCACTTTGGCTGAGGCAAGGAGATTTTCTCCTCTGAGTTCATGGGCCATCTCCTCTGTTAGTATCGACACGTCCTCTCCTCAATGTCTCTCTCTTTCTCTACATTCTCTTCTCTCTCTCCCTCCCCCGCCCCATGTTTTCATATCTGGATATCTCTTTTCTGCGTGTGGATTTCTTTCCATTTTTCTCTCAAGACATCACTCCTTGAAAATGTCCCTCAACCCTTTCCATCTTACTTGTGCCCAAACAGCTTTGATTCCATCTTCAGGACTCATTCATCTCCACCAGGCTGGAGTCCTTCATAAAGAAGTAACACAAGATTTCCTCTTGAACAACAAGCTCTTCCGGGCTTCACCAGTTACAGATGAGAAGCCTGGAGGAAGGGGAGTATCTGAGCCACCCTCTACCTGGCCCAGAAAGAGTGAGCCACCACCCTCCAAGACCTGCATGGATCCAAAGAAGCAGAAACACCATGCTCTCCTCTCAGGCATCCTGATGCCACTCACAATGTGAAAGGGGCCAATGGCTCAGAAGCCACTGCCCTTACGGCCTCCTCCAGCAAATCCTAATGCCCAGTTCTCATGCCGATGACCTTCCACTCTGAAATGCTTTCTGGCATCCACCCATCCTCCCAGGAGCTGGACAACCAGGTCAAGGAGAAAACAGCCCCTCTACCACGCTGAGCCAGGGACCCCTCTCCAGGACAATTCTCTTCCCTGAGACAAGAGGGTCAAACTGCTCTTCTAGATATGACCTCAGAGATGTGCAACCAGGGCCCTGGACCAATTTATCACCACGGGGCTATAATTAGGTTTGTTAACATACAGTCTAGTGTAGTCTTGTTGACTAGGAACTTAATCACGTTACTATTGAGTTCCTGTACGCATTGCTCGGGGTGACTGTTTTACTTGTAGAGTTATAGCCAAGCCCAACGGGAGGAAATTAGCTTTGGACACAAGTTTGGAGGGGGGTTCTTTTTCCTCTTGACTTTGTCTCTCTCTCTCCCCCCTTCCATGTGAAAATATTTAGCAAACAGTGACAATGATGAAAAACAGTAGGAAACAAAATGTTCTACATTAGTATAAAACATGAAAAATGCAGAAGGACCCTTAGCGGTACAACATGTGTTATGCTGGCTGGCAGTCCATTAGCTCTGATAGACATTTCACTTACCTAAGTCAAATATAACAGTCGAGTATTCATTAATATAAGAAGGGGCTGTGGAATCAGAGCTACCATCTGGCTGGGCCGACAGAATAATCTACAACTCATGATTAGGTCTAAGGAGTGGGGTTTCACTTTAATCTTTCTCATTGCTCGAAATTTCCATCTGCGCAGTTCGGCACATCATTTTTCTTCAAGACAAATGTGCTGTTTTTCATGTTCCAAAATTAGATCAGAAGAAAACGATTAATCATGTCACGGCCTGGGAAAGGAAACAAAGCTCCGATACTCTCCTGCTCTCGCTCCCAGCTCCCGCCCCTCCCTGGCCCTGGACGGTTGCAAGTTTCGCTTTTCCCCCATCAACCTCTGGGTCTGCAGCACAACTTTGGGAGAGGCCGCCGCCGGCCGGGAGGTGGAGGGCGGGACTGCAGGGAGAGGCGTGGGGGCGCCCTGGAGCCCACGAGGGGGCGTGCCCCTGCCTCCTCCCGCCACCCCTCCCGGGGGTCGCCCCCGTGGGCCCACCCCGCGCTGTGCCGCCTGCCCCTCGAGTCGGAGTCAGGGGCCCGGCGTGACAGGAAGGGCCCGGAGCCCGCCTCCCGCGCGTCCCCTCCCGGCCGCCGCGGCCCTGTCTGTCAGGCGGCTCGCAAGTCATAACAAATCCCTGGCGCGGGGCTGAAGCTGAGCATTTGCCGGAGCGTCATGGGGATGATGAATGACCCGTAGGCCTTTGAAGTGCTCTGCCAGTTCAGCTGGGTCCGCGGTGCTGACAGAGAAATATACACAACAGCGTAACCAATAATGAGAACATTAAACATTCCTGCGCCGTGACAGGCTGACAGAAAAACCCGGGCCCGCATCAATCATCGCGCAGATAGAACCCTGACAGGCGGCCCCTCGCTGACACCCCCTCCGCGCGCTCTCCCGGGCCTCCCCCTCTTCCTCTCCCGGGTCTCCCCTCTTTATTTCTCTCCGGGCTCCCCGCCGCCCCTCCTCTCCTTCCCCGCCCCTCCTCTCTCTTCCTTCCCCGCTCCGCTCCGTGTCCTCCCCCTCTGCCCTGTCCCCTGCCCCTGCCCTTGGGCAACTGCCTTCAGGGCCTCTCAGAGGTCAAGTGAGGTCTGGGCCACGTCCGTTCTGTGAGGCTGCCCGTGCCTGAACAGTGAAGAGATGCCACCCCTGAGTGAGAAGAGTGCAGTCTTTGAAATTCAGCGTTAATAATTTGTGGCTTTTCACCCATGCAAAAAAATAATAATAATACAATCACTTATATGAAACTTCATGTGGAACTAGGATCAAAAGTTGAACGCCAAGCCCTTAGGGAAAGGGAGCTCCAGAGGAACCCCCTCCGCCCTCTTCTTTGGGGGAGGTCTTTCGGAGTGTCTTCCTGTGTGACTTTGGCAAGGAATCCTTTTCTTTGTGCCAGCCTCGGCCTCGGCCCCTTTCGTTTCAGATGGATTTATCTGACTGAGATCTGATGTCTGGTCTGTCTGAAAGGGAAAAAACAGAGGAGAAACACAAAGATCTCTTCCTTTTCCTCCACCAGGAAATGAGATCTGCCCAGATAAGGTATGTGGGATGGACTCTCACCCCCTTCCCAAAGGAGACGCTGGTGACCTTCCCCGAGCCTCCAAATCCTCTCTGGACTTGGTTTGGGCTGAGCTTTTTAGGATTGAGCCTCTACTGCATCCTTGCGAAGGTGGGGCATTCCCCCACTCCTGTTACATACAGACCACCCCTGCCAGGCCCACTCCCCACTGCCCCTGAGGGCTCAGGGAAGCTGGGCTGGCAGTAAAAGCCAGGGTTCTAGTCCCAGCTGTGAGAATTTGGGCAAGTCCAGAACTTCCGTGGACCACAACATGACAACAGAAGTCTCCACCTTAGGGCGCTTACAGATCTCTTTACATTCTCCAAATGCAAAGGGTTATTTTTCCTTCCTTTTATTCTTGGAGATTTTTTTTTTCCTTTCTTGGCTTTAAGGAGAGAAGAAACTCCTTGACTTTCCAAAACATCATGAAAAACTCCCCATAACCTACACACACGCGCGCGCGCACACACACACATGCACACACAGATGGTGAGTGGACAGAGGGGCACTCTGTGGTAATCCAAGGACAGAGGGTGTTATGAGAAGTCAGACAGAAGCCTCAGGAAGACCAGTGCTTATACTCTGAGGAAAAGCTCCCCAATGGACAGGACACTTCAAATCTATTTGCATATTTGTTCAGCAGGGCCAGTTCAGGTGTGAAGAAAAGAGCATCTGCTGAGGCAATGTCTCCTCCACATGGCACAGGGTCATGTCCCTTCCTTCCTGCCTACCTGGAAAGGCCAGCTGCACTCCCACTGCCTCCAGGCAACTTGTTCCATGTGTTCTGGCCCACAATGACCTTGCCCTCCTCTGATGTCCTATGACCTCTTCTGGACCAGATGAGCCTCTCACCTGCTCAGCTAGACTTGAAACTACTTGAGAGCAAGATGGTGCCATGCTTTGCTGTTCTCTGGGTCACCTGGGACCAGCAAGATATCTTGTTCTGAAATGCCTGCCCCACACACAGCCCCCCTTCTCCAACGAACTGCCCCTACAGGCCAGCTGAAGGGGAAGACCACCTCGGAAGCTGTGTTTATACTACAAATCCCTAACCCTTGCCACAACTGATGGGTACAGTATTTAACACCTATCCCTGAAACCCATCGGATCCTCTCTCCTTGAAAATCTGAACTCAGTCACAGGTGGTGTGGAGCTCTCGAAAGTCACATAGGGCTCGGGGCTGGGGCAGCCATTTTGAGCCATGTACATACATGCTGAGGAAGAAAAAAATACCAAAGCCAATGTTCACAGGGAAACAGAAGAACGAGGAGGTAGGCAAAAAGAAGCAGACATGAGATCCCAGGGAGACCCCAAAAGACAGCTTAGCTTCTGTTTCTGACTTGCCTGTCCCCCGAGGTCTGGGTATCCTGTTTCTTGCCCTTAGGTGCCTGTGGAATCACTGGCCACTGGGAAAAACATATGACCCAAGCCTGGCCAATCATTCTATCCCATCTTCCTTCTAATAATGATTGGCCCAGGAATAGGCATGTGAAGCATGTCAGACCAATCAGAGTCCTTCTCTGGGATTTTGTATATTGATTCCAAAGGAGATATGCTCTTCAATCCTTTTGGATTGCGTATAGTAAGGCTAGGACCCCAGAGCTTCTAGCAGCATGGCTGCTGCTATCTGGAAGAAGCCAATGTATCATAGGAGTAAATGACGACAAATCCCAATGCCTTTTTCCAGTCCATAGATCTAGTTAAGCCTGAAGCCCATTCCATGCTTGGCCTTCCCAACAAGTGAGTCAATGCATTCTCTTTCTTGCTTACTCTAAGTTTAGTTTGTTTTCTGTCTCTTGCAATGAAAGAGAGCCCTCAGACTTGTGTTCAGGGAACATGTCAATTTAGGAGGATTCACCTAAAATAAATACATGATTCTACTCTCTTTTTATGTTTATGTACACGAATAAGAACCCACTGAGGCAGAGAACAAGGAGGGCTGTGGTGGCCTTTTCTGATCCTCTCCTCCCCCATGGTCCCCTCTGTGACCTCACCCCTCATGCCAGGTAGTCAGTCTGAATAGTCTGCATGGATCTAACTGTTTCCAGGTGAGGGCCAAACCACTTGAGCTTCTGAGCCTGTCAGTAATGGTACTTCCCTGTCCCTATGATTTGTGCCCATCCACAAGCAAGACAGGAACAGGTACTGGGTACTGCAAGTGTCTGGTGGTCCTCACGCCTCTGAATGAAGCTGTGTGTCCTGCCCCCACTGCCATCCAGCAGAAAGCCAGAGCTGCCACTGACCCCTCCTCTACCTTGGACATGACCACAGGTCCCAATCTTGAGACACATTTTAATCTCAGAAGTCCTCCAGGGCCAAAAATTGACCTCTGGATGTTCATCCTTATCCTAGTCCTGGTGTGATGACAAGATTCCTGGACCAATGGGAGACACCAGGGCAGCAGCAGTTACAGTGAAAAATGACTGGAGGGTTTCAGCTGACTGCAAGTTTAAGATGAGCCAGCCTTGTATGATAAGGTTTTGTGGGGATTTTTTGAGACAGGGTCTCCCTCTGTTGCCCACGCTGGAATGTGGTGGTGCAGTCACAGCTCACTGCAGCCTCGAACCCCCAGGCTCAAGCAATCCTCCCCACTCAGTCTCCCAAGTAGCTGGGACTACAGGCATAAATCACCATGCCTGGCTAATTTTTCTATTTTTAGTAGAGATGGGTTTTCACCATGTTGGCCAGGCTGGTCTCGAACTCCTGGCCTCAAGAGATGCTCCTGCCTTAGCCTCCCAAACTGCTGGAATTACAGGCTTGAGCCACCACACCCAGCCATGATATGGCTTCTTTAAAAAAATAAAATTAAAAAGATGAGCTAGGTTACACTAGAGCATCATGTCCAAATGATGTTTTAGGAATTCTGAGAAACTGTAACACAGGCAAAGGTGATGAGCAGTTAGGAAATTCAGTCTTTGAGGAAAAGGAGAAAGACTTCAGGATGGCAAAGTGACATCTCCATCAACACTGAGAGGTCTCACATGCTTGTTCTCCATGAAATGACTGTGAAACCCCCAGGCACAGGCTGGCACATGGTTAGCACTAAAGAGTGGGGGTTTCCTTCTAGCTTATCTGGTCCTCATTCATCAGAGGCAAAATCAGAGACAATGAAAGGGCCTTACAAAGAAGCAGTTTTTATCACAATCTAAGAACTTTTTGACAATCTCAACCATGCAACAATTGAAATGGTCCCTTTGTAAGGTAATGATCTCCCCATCACTACAGATATTCAAGCAGAGGCTGGATGCCTAGCTCCCAGAAATGCTACAGAAGGAATCTCTAAATTGAATGGATATTGGGCTTTCAGGGCCCTTTTTCAGTTCAATGACTTTGGCAGCCTCAGTTTCTCACTCTGTGAAATGCATGTGAGGCAACGCCTCTCATCTTCCTGAGTTTACAGATGTGGTAGATGGATTTTCCAAAGATGTAGTTGGTTGTGTTTTCAAAAATGGTTGCAGCAATACCTCATTCCACATGCTCCTCTTACAACATAACCTTGCCTCTCTCCATGAAGAGAAGGAGGTTAATTCCCATCCTGTTCCACCTGAGCCTGCTTGGGACTGTTTCCACCAATAAAATGTGGCAGAAGTGACACTAAATGATTTCCATGGCTACCATAGAGGGGCCATACAGCTTCTGGTAGCTCTCCAGCAATGCTGGTTCCTAGAATCCAGCTGCCATGGTGTGAGGAAGCCCAACTAGCTTATACAGAGAGTTCACACAGAGAGGCCAACAGAGGTATCTGATCCACAGCCCAGCCAAGGTCCCAGCTGACAGCCAACATCATTCACCAAAAGAGAAAGAAGACTTATTCATAACAGTATTATTCTTGATAGCTAAAATATGGAAACAACCCACTTGTCCATCGATAGATGAATGGATAAACAAAATGGGGTATATGCACACAATGGCATATTATTCAGCCTTTGAAAGGAAGGGGATTCTGCAACATGATACATCATGAGTGAACCTTGAGAATACTCTGCTAAATGAAATAAGCCAGTCACAAAACCACAAATACTGCATGGTTCCACTTCCAGGTGGAAGTGGACTACTGAAGTAGTCAAATTCATAGAGACAAAAAGTAGAATGGTGGCTGTTGGGGGCAGAGGGAAGAGAGAATGGGGAATTATTGTTTAGTGGGTACAGAGTTTCTGTTTTACAAGATGAAGAGGTCTCAAGATAGATGGTGGTGATGACTGCATAGCACTATGAATGTGTTTAATAACACTGAACTGTACACTTAAAAATGGTTACAGGCCGGGTGCAGTGGCTTACACCTGTATTCCCAGCACTTTGGGAGGCCAAGGCGGGCGGATCACCTGAGGTTGGGAGTTTGAGCATAGCCTGGCCAACATGGCGGAACCCCGTCTCTACTAAAAATCCAACAGTTAGCTGCAGTCGCAGCTACTCAGGAGGCTGAGGCAGGAGAATTGCTTGAACTCAGGAGGCGGAGGTTGCAGTGAGCTGAGATCACACCGCTGCACTCCAGCCTGGGCGACAGAGTGAGACGCCATCTAAAAAAAAAAAAATTGTTACCATGGATAGTAAATGTTATGTGTACTTTACCACAATAAAAACAATTGAAGACATGAATGAAGACGTTTCCAAAAGATTCCAGCCCCCAGTCTTCGAGTTGGCCCTGATGAAGTCTCAGAGACAAACCATTCTCAGTGTGCCGTATCCAAATTCCTGACCACAGAAACTGACATAATAAAATCATTTCAAGTGGTTTATTACGTAGCATTAGTAACCGAACAATAGGGGCAAGATGGTCAGGACATGCTGAGAGGCCTGTGGGCAGGAGGCAAGTCTAGGGTCGGGACTAGTCCATGACTCAGTTTATCACCCTCTATTGTGCCCTGGCCCTTCCTTTCCCCCAGCATGGCCCTCTGTCCCACC